CAGTAAATTGGACTGTGAGTGAAAAATGAGTGATGATAAGTGGAATTTTGCCTGATACTCTGCTTAAACACTGGTGGACCGCCCAGAAAACGCTGAGCGAAACTCCAGTGGACCACCAGCTTTGCCATCAGCGGGCCGACAGTGGTCCAGTAGACTCTTGCTATCAGGGCAGTTCCAAACCTGATATGTTTTGTCCTCCAAACATTTTTCTCCAAAATGGATCTGTATTACAAGGTCGCCAAGCAGTCAAAATACAAATTATCTGGGCTTAGAAAATATCTTAAGCAGTGACCTTCATATTAACCAGTCTGGGAGAAAAGCCTCCAAACGTCCACACTTTCTTACTGCAGTGGACAGAAACAAGGCTTTACGACCTGCTCCACACCGACTCGGCCGTGTCTGGAACATGCTGGTGAGTTATTTCTGAAACAAGAGCTGGATTTAGAACTTATCCAGAGAAGATCAATCAACATTATGGCCAAATCTGATTCCTCTCCACTGCAGTCACGATGACGTGAAGCTGCTGTAAAACTTTCAAATGACGCGTTTGTGCTCGTTCATCCTCCAAATGACTGAGAAAAGCGTGGCAAAAGTCTCAGGAATCAAAATCCACTGTCCTGCACTGCGGCACGTACGACCAGACTGAGAAAGAACACTGGCTGCATCAGTTTAGCCTTTCTTTTACTCTGTTTGGTCAGTTTGTATAGTTTTAAAGCTTTTACATACTTTAAGCTTGGTGGTAATACAGGGATTAGTGTAATACTGTGGTAAGTGTTGTGCAGAGAGACATAAATAAACTTAAAACCTCTATAAAGCATCATCATAAGACCGACAGCCTCACCAAAACCCCACACAAACCAGCAGGCGAGGTATATTTACCAGAGCCGCTGCCTGGGCAGAGCCAGGAACATCAGCAAGGACGTTTCTCATCCTAACCAGGGACTTTTTACCCTCCTCCCATCTGGCAGGCGTTACAGGAGCCTCCGCTCCCGAACCAGCAGGTTCAGGAAGAGCTTCTCCCCTGAGGCTGTGACCCTGCTGAACTCCACACCGTCACTTTAACCGCTTCACTGCACTCACTGCACTGTTACTGTACTTTATGTCCTGGTATTATTGCACTATTCATATTTGCACAGACAGTTACTGTACATATTTTTACTCTGCATTCTTATCATTTTACATATCGCTGTTGTCGGAACAAAACCTCGTATCTCCACAACGGTAATTTTACAGGAGAAGGAAAAGACATACTTTACGTTTAATGTAAGTCAATGGAACCAGACGTTTTACCAAGTCATTTTGGGTCATTTCTGTTGGTTCATTTATTATGAAATTTACAGACAATGTAAAGAACAACAGGTACTTTCAAACAATGTCAAAAACTGAAAAATTACAAAAATGGAGATACAAGGTTTTGTTCTGATTGCAGCGATGCATTTGCATTCTCTCCACTCACACTGTATGTATGTATATTTATACTTGCAATATCTATATTTTTTACCACTCTACTGTCCTTAATTGTACATATTGTAACCACAGCATCACTTACCATGATTACTCTCCTGCACTTTATATGTTAATAATACTGTGTTTTGCACTTCTGGTCAGATGCTAACTGCATTGCGTTGGCTCTGTACCTGAACTCTGCACAGTGACTATAATGTTGAATCTAATCTAATCTAATATCGTTGTTTGAGTTTGCATCACTTAAACCTGCCCATGCACAGCAGGCCTGGTGCATCACTAAGGGTCAGAAATAAGAGGGCAGATGACGGAGAGCGCATGGCTTAATACGTAACGGCAACTCAGGAACTGGACATTTCTATCTGAGCACAAAACACTGACTGGGAAATCTGTACTTTATCCATCTAAGCTGATTTGATTCTTTTGAATGAACTGCTCAGTGTTGTACAGATCAGCACGGAGAAGAGTATAACTGTCAAATTAGTGAGGTAAACGCTTCCTCTACCTGTTAGCTACATTAGCCTCACAGCTCCAGCGCTAAAACTAAAGAAGAGAACTTCAGACAGTAAACACATCTTTGCTGATCAACTACATTTGCAGTGGGGAGACATTACTGTTTAACTGATTATTCAACATTCATCCAATATTCCGTGTGTGAGATGTGAACAGAGAGATTCAGAGTGGTTTGGTGTGAAACGGTTCAGATGTCTTTACAGTGGTGGTGATAGGAACCAGGGGTCACCATGACTAAATACCTCGTTTACACCTGGTCTCTTCCTATGTCCAGTATTTGGATTGTGTCCTGATAAGATTTAGTCTCATAAATTAACATTCGGTAGTCAGATGCATCACCAGTTAGTCAGACCAAAATCTGATTGCTGTATGGGACAGAATATGCAAATTAGTTCATTACACAGCAACCAGTTACCAACTGTTTATCCATTCAGCCTCTTCATCTGCAGTGTGTTTTGTACAGTCGTGTCTGTCTGTGTTGATATTAAGCATTTCTTTTCATCCCCAAACATGAATGTCCTCCATGATTATCCGCCTCACAGACATGGAACTCAGTGATGCACTGCATGGCGAGGAGTTTCAGTTGTACTGGTAGGACTTTCAGTTATACTGGTAGGACTTTTAGTTTTACTTGGAGGGGTTTCAGTTGTACTGGGAGAAGTTTCTGTCGTACTGGTAGGAGTTTCGGTTGTACTGGGAGGGGTTTCAGTTGTACTGATAGGAGTTTTAGTTGTACTGGGAGGGGTTTCAGTTGTACTGATAGGAGTTTTAGTTGTACTGGGAGGGGTTTTGGTTGTACTCTCCAAAACCACCGGTGAACCTACACGAGTCTTCTGAGTTTATATGGAATGTTGATGATGGAAAATAGTGGAAAATCTGAAATAATAAGTTTTCTTTGGGGACTATTTTGCCTCACAGCGCCCTGCATGTATCCCTCCACCATGAATGGAGTTTCAGTTCTCTAAACTATCATAAAACAGTGTCTCAGTCATCAGGCAGTGAATTCATAACCATTTCATGTAGGAACTTTCTGTGAGGGAGCTTTTAGAGGTGGACGTCTGGTTCCTATCAACACCACTGTGAACTGTACCATTCAATTAATCCAAATTAGAATAACTAATTCCTCTTTAACTCTCATTATTCAGATGCCTCAAATTTACACCTGAAATCAACAGGTCAGTAAACTCTACAACCCCCCACTCCCGCCCCCGACAGCTGCCCACTGAGCAGGGCTGTCGGATTGTGTATAAAGTCACATCTAAACTCTTCGTTAGTGCAGTCAGTTTATAAGCGAGCGGATTCGTAATCTCCTTTCTCAGAAGTCTGTTCTGGCTGCCACGGCAACCGTGGAAAAAAAAACACCAACAACAAAACCTCCCACCTAAACCACACAGGCTCTCCGCTCGGCTCCATCTCCTGCTGTAGGTGTGTCTGAGGAACATGTCCAGGCCTGCGTCTGTGTGAGGAGATAAGCCGGTCGGCCTGCTGGGCTTCAGCAGGACTCGACATGAGGCAGAAAACCACACACAGCACAGGAGGAGCTGTTTACCAACCACACACCGGTGTGGAGGAACAATCAGAGAACTGCGCAGACTGTTGAAAGCTGTTTAGATAAGCATTTAATTGCTCAAGAACCCTAATGTCAGAATAAATACAAATAATATTTAACACAGTAAGTGGTGACTTTATGTTAATGTGCTCATTTAAACATTTACTAATCTCTCCTGGAGGAGATGAGACGATGTAGGTATCGTCCAGAACCTGTTTTGTCCGATCAATAGTTCATTAACTCATTAAATCAGGAGCCGCTAATAGAGCTGAACAGATCCTGTGATGTTTGGAGAGCAGCGAAATGTCGGGGATCAAACCTGAGCTCTTCTGACCAACTAATAACCACTTTTTTGAAAACTAGAATTTATTTTTTACTGCATTAGTTTGTGTCTATTTGAATGTTATATACTGATTTTAACATTTTGCTTAGGTACCCAAGACTTTTGCACACACACACACCACACACATCTCGCTGCTGTCGGAACAAAACCTCGTATCTCCAAAATGGTAACTTTACAGGAGAAGGAAAAACATACCTTACTTTTAATGTAAGTCAATGGAACTAGAATTTTTAAGAAGCCATTCTGGGTCGTTTCTTTTGGTCCTTTCATCATGAAATTTACACACAATGTAAAGAACAACAGGCATTTTCAGATTATGTCAAAAACTGAAAAACGAAAATGGAGACACAAGGTTTTGTTCCGACAGCAGCGACATATATATATATATATATATATGTATGTATATGTGTGTGATTGCTAATGCTATTCAAGATATATACACACACACACACACACACAAACTAGAAATTACTCTAGCTCACTAGTTTGATCCTTTAACCATCTAAACTAGTGCAGGATAGGGGTGGGCAATATGACGATATCTTTCATTATCGTGATAAATTACATCATGATATCCTTTTATGAGCATATCAATATCATCAGCACTTAAAACTGCATGTTTGATTAAAAACTGCATCATTAATCCTGTTTGATTTGATTTAGTGCAGCAGGGAGAGAAATGTTGAATACAAACCACTGTATTCATAGTTTTTGATGGTATTTATTATTCTGTTTCAACTTATCAAATGTCAGAAAAAAAAGTCTATATTGTGACATCATGTATTGTGAAAACTTATTGTACTGTGATATTGCATTTGTCATATTGTTGAGCTACAGCATGCTGTATATTGCTCTGACAGAATTTGTGACGGCTGTGCGCTTGTTCAAAAACGCACCACTAATGTGAATCAACAAAGTAACTATGGTTTAAGACCTGCCTGCAGTATTTTAGCCAAAATATAACCTACAAAAACTCCTCCTAAACTATAATTGGTCAGAGTGTTCACAGCACAATGTGACTGGCTAAAAAGCTCATTTGCATATTGCAGCACTAAACAATCTGCATCAAATAACAATAATGCAATAATTCAACTATACTGTGCAGTTCTTCAAGGAAGACACAGAGGAGGATCTCATTCATAAAGTTTTTTTATTGTAATAAAAATCGCACAAAACTGTACAGTTCTCTATATATGCACAAATTCATTAAAAAAAAAAATGTACATTAAAAGCATACTGTGCTTCAAATAGCTTACAAACTACACTGTCTCTGCCTAAAACAGTAAACAACGGGCTGCTCAGCAGCCCAAAGAGAGAGAGAGTGAGAAAAATGCTACAGGAGACGAGTGCGTCTCTCTCGCTGGCGAAGAGAACAGGCCTCACGGAGCCGACAACGACCAACCAATCACCTCACAGCTTTAGACTCATTTCAGGACATCACAACAACTCAGGACGAGGGAGAGAGAGAGAACGGGGGGAAAAATGAGATTTTAAACCAAAAGCAAGTATTTTTGGAACACCCTGCATATTGCACAATAAGAGTTAAGACGTTTGGCAGTTTGTTCGACGTTAAGGAGGTGGTGACACCGTCGTTAAGGCAGCAGAAACTGGAGAGTTTTTCCTTGTAAGGTCCTTTAAAGCAGCGCCCACAACGTCGGCGGTCATTCTGTGCAGCACAGAGTCTGAATGAAACGTTTTAGTACCTAAACTAGCACCTCTCGCCCGGTTCTGATTGCTTTTACATTCTCGCGAGAGGCAGAACGCTCGTTATTGCACCGCGACGTCTGCCAGCACCAGTGTTTGCGGGTAGGTTTATGCTAAAAAGGGTCACAGTGTGTTGCCAGATTGTAGTACAAGTACAGATACTGACTTAAAACAGTGCAAGGAACTCAAGTGGTCCATGTAAAGAGATCCTAACAGGAACCTCACTAAATAGGCAGTGCTTTAGATTTTCAGAACTTAAAGTCGAGAGGGTAGAATTTGGCTTCAAATGAGCGTGAAATGTCTAGAAATGTCAAAGCCCCATGGAAATAAAAATAAAAAAAAACAAATAAACACAAACAAAACTGTCTGATGAAGGCCGACCGACGCGAGCCCAGCTTTCGGCCCGTCTCCTGCCGCGCTCCTTAGCTGGAGACGGTCATCAGGTAGTTTTTGGGAGGGCTCGTGCGGCCGCCCATCATAAAGCGGTTTTTGCAGCTCAGAGTCTGGTCGAACGGCGACGGTGCGGGCGCCGGGGGTTCGGCCTCGTACAGGACGCAGATGGAGCCGTCTTCGCCGATACGGTACGACACCTCGTACGGGTCCACCCACAAGGTCAGTTCACGGGGGAGAAGGGAGAACAACTGGCTGCTGGTCAGTCCGATCCGGCAGGCCGCTTTGCCTATAAGGGGGTCCATCTCGTGGTTGATTCGGATGCAGCGGTAGCCTGAACCTTTCTGTGGCCTGTCTGGGAACCAGTGGTGCTGGTAGTGTTCTGTAAGGGGAAAAAATAAGAAGAAAAATAAGTTAAAACATTAAAATAAAAACATCCAAGCAAACAAGCTTAAAATAATGACCATCACACCAAACTGAAAGCTAATGAAGGCTGCTTTGGCCTTGTTTGGTTGAGAACAGCATGCATCTGTGGCTAGGGTAGCTACATAGACTGGGGATGGTTGTGATGTCACAAAGCTGAGAGGTGAACTGAGCGAAATTCACATGTACAACAAAAACACACTGCTGTGCTGCACACACACTTGAACAGTTCAAGGGTCCTTTAATAAAGACAGGGGTTCTATATAGAACCCTTTCAGGCTTTGTATGGTGAAACGGTTCTTCAGAGTGATACAGAATGTGGTTCTAAACATTTTTGAAAATGGTTCTATACAGCACCAAAGAGTTCTGCTATTGTTATGAGCTTAGCATAACAATAGCAGAACCCTGCAAAGAACCATTTAAGCATGAAAGGGTTCAGTACAGACTCATGGCTCTAAAAAGAACCCCCTCCTTAAAGAGGAGTGTGTGTTAAAATAAGTAACAGTAAATGGTTTGGTTTTAACTTAGAGTATTTTTTTAATTTCTAAGCGAATATGTGGCTTAGCTACTGTTAATAAAATGTTCCATCCACATATTAAACAAATGCAGAACCCAAAGCAGGTAAAGGTAGCAGATTAAGCTCTTATCCAGCCCAGCCATCGAACATATGCTTCCAACAGGCTCGCCATCTGCCCCACAGGGGTTTAACCAGGCAAGCTGTAGCTTCTCAAAGGAGAATCCCACCCATGTTTCACATTTTCTTCATAACTCAGTGTGTGAGGAGTGATTCAGAGTGACTCAGAGTGGTTTGGTGTGAAATGGTACAGATGTCTTTACAGTGGTGGTGATAGGGAACCAGGGGTCGCCATGACTACAACACAAATACAGACATTTTATTTACTATCCAGAACCACCAGTGAACCTACACGAGTCTTCTGAGTCTATATGGAATGTTGATGATGGAAAATAGTGGAAAATCTGAAATAATAAGTTTTCTATCATAAACAGTGTCTCAGTCATCAGGCAGTGAATTCATAACCATTTCACGTAGGAACTTTCTGTGAGGGAGCTTTTAGAGGTGGACGTCTGGTTCCTATCACCACCACTGTGAACAGTTCTGACTCGGTGAGTTTCTCTGGAACGAAGCGTTTCACACCAAACCACTCCGTTTACTCCTTCGCCGATTCATTATGCAGAGAATTTTGAAAAATCGGTGGAGCTCCCCTTTAGAACAAAGCACTGCAGTGTAAAGATATAAGCTCATATTTACCGGACAGCGCTTGCTGTAGACAGTCTCTGAACACCTGAAGCTGCTTTTCGCTGAGGAAGCCCCTGGACCGGAGCAGTCTGGACACAAAACTGGCTGCAGCAGAGACTTCGGCCAGCATTTCGGCTCTGGATCCGCAGCTGTGGTCCATTTTAATCCGGATGTCCTCCGCTGGGGTCTGGTAGAGTTCTTAATGGTAGTGATCTAGTACAACAACAACAACGCTGTACTGAATCCACGACGTCGATGCTGGTTCTTTCGGTCGTTGCTTCAAAGTAAAGTAGTTTAAAGCAACAAGTGGGATCCTTGCATTCTTCTAAAAGCGGAAAAACTTGTCCAAGAAAGTCCAAGTAGTATAAAATTCGCTCCCTGTCGCCTCCAAACTCCCCGTCTCTGTGTGTAAACAGCCTCCAGCTGCCTCTTTATCCAGCAAGGCACACAAAGGCTGACGTCAACCGCCCCTCGCCAGCTCGATTGACGGCGCGCCGACCAATGAGAAACGCCGGATGGGTCCCGCCCACCGCGTCCTCGCACTCTGATTGGTCTCAGTCATGGAAAACGAGGCGCTGAGCTGAGCGCAGTGGTTTTCCGTCCGCTTCCAAATATGGAGGTTGACGTCAGGCTCGGCCTCAACGTTCGTGACGACAGCGGGATCAGAAAAACTCCCTTTACCGAAACTTTCGATGGACTTTCATAGCGAGTGTTTTGTAATTTCCTCTCACTGATTCCTCTTTTTGTGTTTAGACACTACAGACACACACAGGCGGCTTACTTACAGAAACATGGCCGCGGTGCTGCTCCCTCAGGGTGATTCTCCAGCTCAGCCATTGTTCTCAAACGACCGCCTGATTACAGCGCATTCAGCTTCTGTGAAATCTTAGAGCTGTGTTGGAGATTTTAGGCCATCTGAAAGCGGGCACAGCAGAAAAACAAGATGAAGTATGAAATGCTCGTTTAAAGCAGTGAAGCTAACAGGCTAGTTGAGCTGTTTGTGAAGTCCTCTGGCTGACTGGGTTCAGTTTTAGGACACAGTTAAGCGGAAACTACAACGTTTTTGACAAAAATACTGAGTAAAAGTAAAACACTGTCACACAGTGAAGGTTTCAGCTGATTCTTCTTCTCATTGTCTCACTGTTTATGCACTGATACCAGCACTGAATATCATCTCCCAACTGCAGCACCAAAACTTCCCATTGGAGATCAATACATTATCTGTCTGCCTGTCTATCCATCTATCTATGTATCTGTCTGTCCATCTATCTTTCAGTCTGTCTGTTTATCTATCTATCTGTCTGTCTATTTATCTGTCTATCTATCTGATTGTCTATCTATGTAAACATACTGTGAGAACTTGCTGTATTTTTGCCTGCTGTTGTTTTGGTCCCGTGGCGCCATCTGCTGGCTGCGACGTGGTATGACGAAAATTTGCAATAATCCATAGACTCAGAAATCCTTCACACAAAACTTAAACTCTGTTTTCAGCAGAGTTTATTACGTCGGACAGATTCTAAACATGTCTTCTCACAATTTTGCCTCGTTTCATTCGGCTGAAAGCCTCACGCAAAAGCTGCAGTCTTATTTACTGTCATTTCTTCTCATCACAGACGCGTGGAGAGAGGAACGAAATGTAGTTTCTTCAGAATTTACATTGATTTTGAACACAGATTTTATAAGAAATAATAAGTTTTCTTTGGGGACTATTTTGCCTCACAGCGCCCTGCATGTATCCCTCCACCATGAATGGAGTTTAAGTTCTCTAAACTATCATAAACAGTGTCTCAGTCATCAGGCAGTGAATTCATAACCATTTCATGTAGGAACTTTCTGTGAGGGAGCTTTTAGAGGTGGACGTCTGGTTCCTATCACTACCACTGTGAACAGTTCTGAGTTTTTCTAGAACAGAGCGTTTCACACCAAACCACTCTGACCACTCTGAACCACTCTGAATGGCTCTGTTTACATTGTAATAACTTAATGGTTCTATACAGCACCAGAAGGCTTCTTCTACTGTTACAAGCTTGACATCATAACAATAGAAGAACCCTTTCTGGTTCTATGTAGAACACTTTTCAAAACATAGTACCATAAACAACACATTCTCAATCAATCTAAAGAACCATTTAACCATGCAAATGGTTCTTTGAGTGTTCATGGTTCTGTATAGAACCACTTACTAAAGAACCCTTGAATAACCATCTTTTTAAGAGTGATGAGAAAGCCAGTTCCAAAAACCTCAGCTTTTATTAGTGCGTGAAGTGAAACAGAGAAGCACACTGTTCTAATTTATGCCAGTAAATATCAAATCAAATAAACTTCCCAAATGAAAAATAAAAGCAGTAATTACACTCTTAAAGGGGAAGTCCACCAATTTTCCATAATTTCTGCATGTTAAAGATGTAAACAGAGAGGTTCAGAGTGGTTTGGTGTGAAACGCTCTGTTCTAGAGAAACTTACCGAGTCACAATTGTTTACAGTGGTGGTGATAGGAACCAGACGTCTGAGGCATTTCAGGCCTCTAAAGGCTACTTCTAAGAAATCTGCTGAAGGAAATTCTAATAGATGATTTGTCTAAAGCCTGAAAAACGTATTTCAATAGTTTAGGTCTAAGACATATTTTCTAAAAGTCTGGCCTTGTGAGGCAAAATACTGTTCCATATAAACTCAGAAGACTCGTGTAGGTTCACTGGTGGTTCTGGATAGTAAATAAAATGTCTATATTTGTGTTGTAGTCATGACGACCCCTGGAACCATTTCACACCAAACCTCTCTGAATCACTCTGTTTACATCTCACACACTGGATTATGGAGAAATCTTTGAAAATTTGGTGGAATTGCCCTTTAAGAGCATGTGGCTTCCAAAAAAAGATGCATTTCTTTACAAATCCAAGATGAAAGTAGAGGAGAGCCCTGCTGAAAAAGACCATTAGGATTAAAACCTGTTGGTCAGCCCATCAGGACAAACACAGAATACCGTTAATGACTACTGGACACCATCAGGAACCAACAGAAGCTTTTAATGGTTCTGCTTGTTTTCAGCTGGGAGGTCAGCAGATGCTGGACAGCACCGTGTCCGCGCGCAGTGAGGCCGACCGTGCTGTAGAGCTGCTGCTGATGTGGAGGGAGAATATAAGCAGCTGTTCAGCTGGTTGTGTTCAGTCCATCAGCACTGATGCTGCTATATTTAGTCTCGCTGAGGGTCTAATGGTGGGCTTCCGCTCAGACTGACACCGTGAGCGCGTTTAGCACGAATTATTTACAGCTTTTCATTTAGATTTGCATTTAAATCGATGAGAACCTCTGTATTCTAATCATACGCCACATTACGCAGAATAATAATGCGCTTTAATGAGGCTAAATTAGCTGCGATGAATGCTTTTGTTATTGTTGTTCTTTTGTGCGCGAAACAGCGCCCTCTGCTGGCTGGCACACGCATATACAGACACTTAAAGGAGAATTCCACCAAAAGTTTCACATTTTTCTTCATAATTTGATTCAGTTCAACTTTACGGTCATTATATATGTATATGTATAGCGAAAAGCTGTCAGACTACCCCATTAAAATTAAATAATAATTAAAAATTTGATTAAAAAGAGCAAAGAAAATAGACAAGAACAGACAATAGATGTATAGACAGCAAATAAGAACATGTGCATGAACAGTAAGAGTACGTTAGAAGGTAGAAGTAGAATTAAAGTGTAAACTATAGTTACTATATTATAATAAATACAGTATAATAGATATATAGGCTTGGTTAGGACTTAAATGGTTATGATGTAAAATCATTCAAAGTGGTTTCTAGAGAATCTTCTAGAGAAATCCGGGTGTTTTATGGCACAGTAGTCCCCCAAATATACGTATAGATATATACATTTCTTGACAATAAACCATTTCATATCAAACCACACTGGCGTACACCCCAACCACCGAAATGTGTGGAAAATTTTATACATTTTGAAAAATGGGTGGAATCTCCCTTTAACATCCATACATAAGCGATTCCCGCAGCACACAGCGCCTTTCTGCTGATCAGACTTGACATCTCCCTGTAGCAGCGTGTGTTTGAGAGTCTCCGTATGTATTTAGCACTTTGTGGGGACTGTGACTGAAGAAAACACGAATGTTTTAGTGTTTTTTGGGGATATTTGGCTGCTTTTCACGAGATAAAAGTGCATTGTCCCCTCTAAAAATGCATCTTCTATTAGAAACAGTAAAAGAGACCAAAGCTGATCGATAAGACTGAAATTGGCTTCCTATTCGCCAGCTTCTGTTTCGAATTTCCCGTTCCACCTTAAATGCCTCAGACGCCAGAATGTAACTGCTGCACCATTTAAGGTGGAACGGGAAATTCGAAAAATAAGCCAATTTAAGCTTCGCAGCTGATCTTTTGGTTGCTTAAGGTTAGGTTACACACTCACACACACAAATACACACCAGTGTGTGAGTGTGTGCCTCCCACGCTGACGCTTTTCACTCTGCCGTGTCCCTGCAAACCCAGAATGCCGTGCGCATGCGCAGAACGCTTCACCCACACTGCAGCAACCAGCTCAAAATATCACACATCCAGCACTGCATTAATGCTTACTTTATATTTCAGGGGATTTTTCTCGCGTTTATGGTGCACAATCAAGATTTTAATGCCCATCAGAACAAGCAGTCGGTGCAAGTTGCTGATTTTCTCAGGGAGAGTCAGTGAGGAGATCGAATATAAGATAATCCAGTTTCTTAAAGGAAAATAAGTGAGTCTCCAAAACTGGAGTTACAGAGAAAATAAGGTTCCTGACAACCACCTGGAAGACTTCTTACTGAACCTGAAACATGAGTAACTTCCACTTACAGGTCGTTTTGACTGCAAATTAAATAAATGAAGGTGTATAAAGGGGCTCTGACTTTTACACATCACTGTTTTTAGCCAGTTCTGTTACTTTTAGCTCAGTAACTTTAGTTATGTAAAATAGTTGTACTATATTTCACTGTAGGTGTACTTTTTAAGTTATAAAAAAAGTAAAGTGCACTTCAAAGAACATATCGGATGTTTGAGTGTATGTATATATATATATATATATATATATGTATATATATATATATGTATATATATGTATATGTGTGTGTGTGTGTGTGTGTGTATATATACATATATATATATATATATATATATATATATATATATATTGAGGGTGTGAGCATTTACAGCATATATGGATTAAAAAAGAAATTACATTTAACCCGTTTAAACTAAAACGACCACATGAACAAATTAGCATTAAAATCAAACAATAGAAATGGGGGAAAAAATAAAGAGAACAATTAAGATTTATTTATGAAAAGTAATAAAAATGAATAAATAAATAAATTAAAACAGTAAAAGAAATTTAATAAACCAAATTAAATCAAAATAAAAAAGTGAAATTA